GAGGAGCAGGAGCAGGTGGATCAGCCATCTTCTTGAGTTCTTCAACGTCAGGAAGTTTGGTCGGAGGAAGGTTGTTGCGTTCTAAATACTCTTGAATTCGTCTCCTTAATCTAAGGTAACGCTCGATATCGAATATAGGTATATGCAAAGGCGCGCCTTGAGAGCGAGTATTTGGCATACACAGAGGGAAAAGAAATAGTTGCTATAGTCTATACTTCGTAATAAAATTACAATATCAACTTAAATAGTCCCCGGCAACGGCGCCAAAAAATTGATCGCAACTTTATCGTCTAAATTAATCGGGAGACTGCAAGTATACAGCCCTATCGCGTAGTTTTAAAAGATATCGAACCTAAGGGACTATAAATCGAACTAACGTAACCTAAACTATTGTGTAAAGCTATAGCTATCGAATAATTGATTAGGGGAATTTTTGGGTAATAAAACTTAATTCTAATTGAAATAATAATAATGCGAATATCGGTATGTACTTTGTTAACATTTAAAGAATCCGGCTTTCCACTGGCTTATTTTCAAAAATGATAATAATATCTTTTTCAGCAAAAAGTATTTATTCAAAAATCTATTCTCAAACTTTCGCTCTATTGAAGTAAATTATAATTTTAAACTCTGATGTATGCTTTCGCTATCCCATTGATTTTAAAATTACTTTTTGAAAATAAATAAAGTTTAATTGGTTTTAAAACACTGTCGCAGTCTTTAAAAACAATACCTAGTATCTACTATCTGATTCTAAACCTCAAACTGTCGCTCTATTGGTTTCTAATCTTAGTCGGTTTATTAACCTCAAACTTTCGCTCTGTTGGTTTCTAAACCTTTTTAACAAAATAAACTAGATAACTAAATCAGAAAAAGTGTTTATTTTATAAAATATAATCAAGCCTGTTTATTCCGGATCCATTCAAATTAACTCGTTACATACCGATATTTAAATAATTTAGCCAGACATACTCATAAAAGCAGACATGGATACATTAAAGGAATTAACATTCATAAATAAATTCATGGCTAAATAAATATTCTCATGCAAATAATTAATTAAAGCGATGTAAATAAGGAACCTGAATAAATAAATGCTGGAAATAATCCTTGAAGCTTGAATCAATTCGTACAGAATCCTGGTTCTTCAACGGAAATAAAATCTAAGTATTCGAAAAGGAAAAGGAGCTGGCTGGAAAATAACTACTGGAAATTGAATTACAATGGAAACTAGTAATGCGATGAAAGTAAAAATTCTGAAACTGGAAAAAAATCTAAGCAAAAACGGTCCCAATTTTGATTTCCTGATGTCCTTTTATAGTGGTAGAATGTAACCACTTTTGAGATATTTTCGTACCACTTATCCTCTAATTTCTCGTTCTAACTTGAACACGTTGAGACGGGCGCCTCAATTGACCACGTCCTCAATTGACCACGTTGAGACGGGCGCCTCCCACTAAGGGGAAAGTCCGAGGCGGACGCCTCAATTATAGGAGAAGAGATGAGACGTGCGTCTCACTCTTGCATGTGACTTTAGGGTTCTCTTGCTTGCGTGGGTCTGAATTCGTTTGGGCCCAGTTTGGAGATGATAAACCTTTTGGTCCATCATTATTGCTTTGCACACCCCTTTTCTTCATTTCTTGCATATTTAGTCCAATAACTCTCTTAATTTCTTCACTTTGCTCAATTTGTCTAATTAAAATAAAGTACCTGAAACAATAAAAATACCAGCGTAATATGGAAATAAAATGAAATAATTAAATAAAAATAATAACATTATCTATGAAAATTAAATCAAATATACTATATAAAATTGTGTTATCAAAAGTCAGATACTGTGTCATAACATTCACTGTGACATTGAGTATCTGCTGCCAGAATTTCAAACACCTTCTTCATTAGTATGCTCCACAATCACTGGTAACATAGCTTCATAAGGCATCCCAAGCTTCTGAGCGCCGGCTCGAACCCACTGTAGATAGGATTGCATAGGGAGAGAAGTCTTTGGTCCTTGCTTGTGAGGGTCGGACCTGTTCACAATGCCTCAGGATCGTATAAACCTTCGGCGATGCTCTTTAACGTCCTCCTTATAGTCAAAGACAATGTCTGTAAGAAGTAGCTCATGAAGACCGTCTCTACGAGCGCGACCAAATTGTCGTAAAGCCAAGCAAGTACTATAGGTTATACCCCCTCTAATTCCAAGCAACGGGACATTAGGGTATTCCCCACGTCGATGAATGATAGCAACTCCTTCCATATCCTTAGAACTCCAAAGGATGTTTGTATGGGCAAGGGACATTATTCTGTAAGACCAACCTAGACCTTCCACATTCTTCAACACAGACTTGGGGAGGTGTGAAATAAACCACCTCGCCAACAGCGGCATGCAACACATGAGGGTCCCTCTTCTACGCGCCGTAAGAGTATAAAGGACATGCATAATATCACCTAAGAGGGTAGGCACAGGATTGCGAGACAGGAAGATCTTAACTGCATTCACATCTATGAAAGAATCTGGATTCGAGAAAAGAACCAATTTGTAGATGAGGAGAGCTAAGATGTCTTCAAATGCCTGAAAGTCCAAATTGTCCCAGAATAGTTGAGCTTGATCCATTATAAACTTGGCTAAGAAACCTTTAACCCCGCTTCGTGTCTCCCAATTAGACACCACATCAGCCTTTTTCAAGTGTAAAGATGAAGCAATGTCTTCTGGCCTAGGAGTCTCTTCTAAACCTGTGAAGGGCATCTTCTCGAGGATGGATATACCCAGTAAATGAGAAAACTCCTCCAAAGTAGGAACTAGCTGATAATCCGGGAAGGTGAAGCAATGATGCACTGGATCGAAGAACTGGAAGAGCACACTCATCATTTGCTCATCAAATCTGGAGGTAACCAAACTAAGAAGCTTACCATGTCTTCTAATGAATGAAGAAGTATCAGAAATTCTCGAGGCCAAATCTTTGAGTTGAGCATGTATTTGCACAAAGTTAACTCGGATGGTGTGTCTGTGCATGGAAGTCATGATCTACAAAACAGAACAAAGATAAATCCCCTCGGTCTTTGAAATGGTTAGTCTAATGAAGTATGCATGCTATGTCATGATGCATGATGTCATGATAAAATGCACAACGGGTATCACAGATAGCAGACATGGTAAAGGCAAGCAAGTCACACAATAGCCCTTAAGTTTCAGGCTTACATGGGGTCTAGGTATTGCCCTCTTGAAGTTCAGTTGGTTTCAACTTGTCTTAATAATAGTAACCGGGTTCTAGAGGTTCTCAATATCACTGACCATCCTCCATCGGTCATGGTTTCATCTCACACAATCTTTTCTTGCGGTCGGAACTATCTCAAGAGTATGGTCTCAATGAGTGTAGTATCGAGTATCAACCAGTTCTCAGCTTTATACCGAGATCGGCTATCTCACTACTTCCTATGGACAAGTTGGTCAATTATAGGTTCTAAGGTCAGTTGATGCTTAACGACCCATATAGCAGCCCCGTATTCTCCTCGTTTCTCCATAAGGGATACCGGTTGTAGCGATAAAAAATGTAGCGGGGTAAATCGGAGATCGAATTATTAATTAATTTGTCTCACAAAAGCAAGATTCGCCACCGCGCTTTATTATTTCCAAGGGAAAAGGGAAAAGAGCGAAATAAAACCCTAAAGTATGCAATGTAAAATAATACTTTAAAAGTAATGAAAATACAAGGCGTTTTTGAAAAGAGATGTAGAGTTCGGGGGGTTGGTTATACAATGGGAAGGTATTAGCACCCAATGTATCTATAGTATTCTATAGGAACCTTTTGAAATATCTGTTTATTAAAAATGTTTGTTTGATTAAAAATAAATTGTTTGGCCAAAAATGGGTATTGGACGAGTTTTCGAAAATACGACGACCTAACGTCGAAGTTTTGACTTAAAAGGTGTGAGTTTTGAAAATTTGAATATTTGGGGAAAATTATCTTAAGTTTTTTTAACAAAATAATAAACGGAAGATGAATGAGGGTATTCGCGCTATGTGTTTGATGACATGAAGTCGACAAAATTAAACAATTCTCTTGGATTGAAACGGACGAAAGATACGCGGATTAACGATCAATTAATTAAAATTATAATTAAACAATTAACCAATGAAATTTAAAACATACAAGCATGCATTTCAACGATTAAATAAATAATCAAAAGTACATGAAGATTAAATTAAGAAATCATAGATTTTCAATAATTAAACACATAACAAAATTAAATCATGGAACATGTATTTTTTGAATAATTAAATAAAACAACAACACAAAAATAAAAATAAATACTAATAGTATGTTGACGAAATTAAAAAAAGATGAAATTTTAATTATATGTTTTTATGTGTTTTTTTATAAAAGTTACTAATTAAACAACAAACTAAATTAATAATATTAAGTATGTTAAATAATATGGCCAAAAAAAATAAAAGATAAAAAAGTGACCCAACCAAGACTTAAACCCAAGACCCTTAAATTGTTGTAAACACACTTTGCCAACTGAGCTTTACTATTATTCATTTATTAACGTGATTAAAATAAAACATAAGGAGAAAAAAAAGGAAATTTGAAAATGTACTAAAAAGGCCCAATGGGCCACCGGGTCAAAGGGAAGAAAAATAAAAAAACCGAAACCCTAATGTTGTGAAGGGAGGGCGCCGCTGCCACTTGCAAGCATAGGAAAAAACAAAAAAATTAATTATTATTTTATTAGTTTGGGAAGAGAGAATAAGTATTTTATTATTATTATTATTAAAGAAAAACAAATGCAGTAAAGGGACTTGGTAAAACACAACATCAACACTCTCCAAAAAAAACGTTCCTTTTCCTCTCTCTCTATGCGTTCCAACTTTCCTCTTCCTCTAAATCGATTTGTTCCTCTCCATTACAGATCAAAAAAATTTCTTCTTCCAACAAACAAAAAAACCGTCCTCCTCTATTTTACAGATCCAAACCTTTTTTTCATCTCTTTCTCTCATGCCATCTGATCCGGCTTCCTTTCTCTTCCACAGATCCGCCTACATCAAAATCAGAATCATCTTTACTCTCTCTGAACCTAGCCTCGAAATCAATGTCAAGCAAGAAAGGTTTATTCAACCCGTTTTCTTCAAACTCGGCCACAAGACATCAACAGTCACACGGAGGGAATCACCCACCGCCGCCGTAGATGGGATGAAGTCGGAGATAAAAGCACCACCACACACGTTTCTCTTTCTTTCACTATTCTCAGATCTTTGGTTTTTTTCTATAAAACAGTGAAACTTCTTTGAATTGGTTTTTATTTAGATTTACAACCTGATTTATATTTTTACGGTTTGGATTTTTGTATAGATTAAGCATGTTTTCTGGATCTAAAAAAACAAATGTTTTTTTTTAAGAACAAAATAGTTTTCTTTAAAATATTAAGAACAAAAATAGTTTTTTAAAATATTAAGAACAAAATGGTTTTTAAAATATTGGGATAAATATTTTTTATGGACTAAGAACAAAATATTTTTTATATACTATTGTAACAAAATATTTTTTGGATACTGGATATTAGAAAAAAATATTTTTTATATACTACTAACAAAATGAGTTTTTAGCTATTTGGAACAGCAACTATATTTTGGATATTGTAATAACAAAATATTATTTTAGATATTTGTAATAACAAAATATTATTATTTATTTTAAATATTTGTGACAGCAATATATTTTTTTTAAATATTGTAACAAAAACATTTTTTTTAAAATATTGGAACAATAATGTATTTTTTAATATCATAACAGCAACATATTTTTTTTAAATGTAACAATAAAATATTTTTAAATATTGTCATAACAAAATATTTTTTGGATATGAGATTTTGTAAAGCAAAAAGGATAACCAATGTTTTTTGGACAGCAAAGGCTTTGGACAACAAAAATGTTTTTGGGACAACAAAAATATTGGACAGCAAAGGCATTTGGACAACAAAGGTGTTTTTGGACAGCAAGCATATTTTGGACAGCAAAGGTATTTTTGGGACAACAAAGGTATTTGGGACAGCAAGCTCTAAACAAGTTGGGACAGCAAGTTCTAAACAAGTTTTTGGGACAACAATGAAGTAAGCTTTTATTACACTTATTATTATTATTAATATTATGAATACTAACATGTTTAAATATTAACATTCATGCAACAAATCAACTCAAATACAGTATAACGAAAACAAAAAATGATAAAGCAAATATTACATGGCAAAGAACATTGATACAACAAGGGATTCAAGCATGAATATATGCAACAGTAGAGCAACAGTAGATAGAGAGTAGAAAAAGAATATACCTATCGGAGCCTCTCTGATGGGGCTTCTAACAAAAATGGTAAGCTTCCTTGAGTTTGCTATCTTTTCTCCTTGCTGGATTTTTTGAACAACACTAATTTTTCTGGTTTTTTCTACTTGCTGAATTTTCTAGAACAAACAATAATTTTCTGTTTTCTTTTACTGTTGAATTTTTCTTCCCCCCTCTTTGTGTTGACAAAAGCTCTTATTTATAGTGGAGTGTGGAGGATTTGAGGGGGGAAAAACAGTAGAAATTCAAATTGTTTTGGCAAACTGTTTCTATACTTTGTTCTCACAAATTGCTTTAGCCATTTTCATACAAATTGTTGCTACATTGATGCAGGTTGGAGCAGGTTTTTGGCAGCACTTGGAGCTGCTGTATGTTGCTGTTTTTTTTTTCTATTTTGTAGCATTTTACAACATTTCTCTTTTGCTGTTTTTTCAGGTTATTTGGAGCATTTTTTTACCAACAAAAATGCAACAAATGGCCTTGAAGAAATGTTGCAAATATGGGCTGCACTAGCACTTTGCTGAATTTTTTTTTTTCATGTTGAAAATAAATCTTGTACACACTTGTAGCTTCTTGTAACCTTGTGATAAACTCCAATAAATTATAACATTGAGTAAATATGCATTCTTCAATATATTTTCCATTCTTTGGGTAGTTATGAATGATCTTGAATCTTCACATAAACATAAATCTTGATATATCTTGATAAAAATTCAAGATCTTCCATTTAAATTTGGGAAATAATGGAATAATACTTGGATGAATTGTTGAATGAAGAATAAATAATAATGCAAGTCTTGGACTTTAATCTTGTATTCTTGTAATAGAAATCCAAATAAATCACATGGATTAATCTTATAACCAAATAAAATTCCTCATGTAATTAAATAGAATTCCTCACTAACTTCTTGAAATAATACTTCAATGTATTTAAATAATCATGATGTAGATCCTCCAATGTAATCACAAGAATAATCTTGAATAAATATCTCATGTGATAAATAAATATTCTTGAATGAAATCTCTTGAATAGCTCCTCTTTAAATATCACTTGGATTCAAATAAAGAAAATTCCAAATATTCCGAATATTCCGAATAAATTCTTCTAGAACAGTTTTGAATTTAATTATCTCGTTTCGGCGAAATTCAATCCGCATCGTGAGAAAATTTGCAGATGACTTTTGGTTCAAGAAATCAAAAAATGACGGTATAACCTGTTTTTTCTTGCATTTTAGAATAATGTGAAACACACATGAACCAAAGCCGGTAGAATTTTGATTGTTCTTCCTGAAAAATATTCGGAGAAAACGGAGACCATTTGCCAGAAGAATGTGGAAATAAACGCACAATTTTCAGAAATTCTTTGATGAACCAGTCTTTTGGAAATTAACGAACGACAGCATTTCTGTTCTGAGACTCGAAATCCTGATCGACGTACAACGTATAATGCTCTTCTTTTAGACCTATTTTTTGCACATGAAAATAAAACAGCAAAACATGCACTTTGTGCTTGATTAGTGGTTAGTCATTCATAAAATGCTCACAACACTCGATAATCTCTACACAGTTAAAACTTGACAGCGAAACATTCAAAACCTACCATATTTTGTGACCTTGATGTGTATGAAAAATAATGCAAATGAAGCAGGGATCTTAGGTCAAAAATTGGGGTATGACAGCTACCCCTATTTAAGTTTCTTCTATCCGGAGATATGAAGATTAAAATCTTCGTCTCGACGAGATTGAAGGTACTTAAATACATAATACACAATTTTTCCCTAAGATACCGCCATTATGTTTATGATATGAATGTGGTATTTAAATTCATAGAGAATGATACTGTATGAGACAAAACAATACTGGAGAAACCAAACACCAACAAACCATAAGAACATAGATTATACACTACTGGGGAAATGAGCCATCAGCTTCGAATGATAGACTCTTAACGACGAATAAAATTTGAGAGAATACAACCTCTGACCCTAACAAAGAAGATGTCTCGCATAGGCTACAAAAATAGATTATTGACCCAAAATAACGGTGAGTTCACAACTCAAGGTCAAAAATAGACAAGAGATGTGTCAATTTTTGCTGATAACAGACTACTGACTTATGAAGGTAGAGATTTCATAGCAAACTTTCTCTGCGAAATTTTTCCAGAGGGATACCAATTAATGCTGAAATAATAATATGGTTGTAGATACACAAGCTGCTCAAATAAAGAAGCTGCCACTTGTTGTCTTCCAAAAATATTATAACATACAAGCTGCTCAAATAAAGAAGTCGCCACTTGCTGTCATCCAGGAATGTCTATAACATTTAAGTTGCTCAAATAAAGAAGCCGCCACTTGTTGTCTTCCAAAAATACCATGACATACAAGCTGCTCAAATAAAGAAGTCGTCACTTGCTGTCTTCCAAAAATACCATGACATACAAGCTGCTCAAATAAAGAAGCTACCACTTGCTGTCTTCCAAAAAAACTATGACATACAAGATGCTCAAATAAAGAAGTTGCCACTTGCTGTCTTCCAAAAAAAACTATGACATATAAGCTGCTCAAATAAAGAAGCTGCCACTTGCTGTCTTCCAAAAAAAATACCAATAACATACAAGTTGCTCAAATAAAGAAGCCGCCACTTGCTGTATTCCAGAAAAATATCAATAACGCGCAAGTTGCTCATGAAGAGACCGCCGCTTGCTGTTTTTCGAAAAATAATAACGTACAAGTTGCTCATGAAGAGACCGCCGCTTGCCGTTTTCCAAAAAATAATAACGTACAAGTTGCTCATGAAGAGACCGCCGCTTGCCGTTTTCCAAAAAATAATAACGTACAAGTTGCTCATGAAGAGACCGCCGCTTGTCGTTTTCTAAAAAATAATAACGTACAAGTTTCTCATGAAGAGACCTCTGCTTGCCGTTTTCCAAAAAATAATAACCTACAAGTTGCTCATGAAGACACCGCCGCTTGCCGTTTTCCAAAAAAATTAATAACGCACAAGTTGCTCATGAAGAGACCGTCGCTTTCCGTTTTCCAAAAAATAATAACGTACAAGTTGCTCATGAAGAGACCGTCGCTTGCCATTTTCCAAAAAATAATAATGTACAAGTTGCTCATGAAGAGACCGCCGCTTGCCGTTTTCCAAAAAATAATAACGTACAAGTTGCTCATGAAGAGACCGCCGCTTGTCGTTTTCCAAAAAAATTAATAACGCATAAGTTGCTCATGAAGAGATCGCCGCTTGCCATTTTCCGAAGAATAATTCAGAAGAAAGTTGCGATAACACTGCCATAGAATAAAATCTTCATCAAAGGGAGCCATGAATAGATCCTTCCCGAGGAGATCAAATATGTCAAAATAAATTCACCATTCATCTAGGTTGTTTAGCTTAGAGAAAACCACGAGATAGCCTATGCAAGAAACAAAAACTCCCTCCAGGAATAAACCAGAGAGAGGACAGTCAAACAAGACTCCACCCAATGAGAAAATATCTCAATTGGGAATTCATCCTATCCAGAAATGGACAAGGAAGGATAAATCAAAAAAAATCATCCACGAGGATTAGCTCAGTTGGGGAATTTAGAAAGGAAGCACATTTTCTGCCTAAGTTAACATTCTACTTGGAAAGAAACATGTACGCTGTTTGAATAAGCATAAACAAAGTATACGACCCAAAAATCGATGACAAATGTGAATATGCATGCGTGATATGAGTGTAAATGAATGAATGAATGTTATGCTGACAAAACAGGCAGACGGAATATCTTGAAGATGATAAGATATCACAAAATAATAGATACTCGGCCAATCTTAAAGAGACGGAAAATAACTGGAACTGGAACCACAAAGCAACGTCAGAGTGTATCACGCTACAAGGCTCAAATCTTCTGGGAGAAAAGTATTCAAATCCAATCTTCTAACACCAATAGACCACTAACA